TAGAAATCCATTTGCAGGGTGGGAGATCCTGGCAGTTGGCAAAGTGCCTGCTGCATAAGCAGGAGAACCTAGTTCAAGTCCTATCACCCACATGAAATGCCGGTTCATTAGCATGCATTTATAACCCCAGCTGCGGGGAGCTAGAGACAGGTGTGGATCCCTCGGGTTCACTGACCAGCCAAGCCTAGCCTAAGGATCCAGTTCCAAGCCTGGAGAGACCCCATCTCAAGAATCAAGGGCTTGACTCTTGCCTCCACACATACTTACAGACGTATATATACACATGTACCTGCACACACATGCATCTGTGCACACACTTGCACCTAAACTCACACAAACTTTCCTGTGAACTCGTGTGAGCACACACACATACACACACACACATCGACTCGCTCTGCCATCATAGAAAATGCCAATAAAATGTTAAGTATGATTTTCTTCAGGAGACAGAGAATGTTGAAATGTTTTCATTAGGGGAATGCAGCAGATAGCCACAGCATGTTCATTCACTGCTGGGGAGCTGGGTCCTTGTCAAATCATCTTTAATGACATTAATAGAGTATGGTTATAAAAATTATTGGAATCCATTAATAAAACTATCCTTTATTTAGAGAATTGTGAGAGGAACTCATGGTGTGTGTATGTGTGTTGGGTTATTTTATTTTCAGCCCAGAGGACATAGGGATGAAATCAGTGGTCCTCAATCTATGGGTCATGACCCTTTGGAGTTGCATATCACATGTCCTGCATATCAGATATTTACATTATGATTAATAATCTGGAAAAATCACAACTAGATGTAGCAACAAAATAATTTTACGGTTGGGAGTCACAACACGAGGAACAGTATTAAAGGGCTGCAGCATTAGGAAGGTTGAGAACCACTTGTATGTCTCTACCTTTTTACTGTACAAAAGGCACATGCTGCCAATCTTAGTGGCATGGTCCTATAATTCTAGCTACTCGGGAGTCTGGTGCAGGAGAGTTGCAAGGGCAGGGCCAGCCTGAACTACAGAGTGAGTTCAAAACTATCTGGGGCAACTTAGTAAGATCCTGTCTCAAAACCAAGAGTGAAAAGAGGGTTGGGAAGTTATTTCAGTGGTAGAGTGCTTCCTAGCTTCTGCAATGCCCCAGAGTCAATGCCTAGTAGCAAAGGAAGTCAAGTCATGCGAAATATAGAATGCATATTGCACAACTGTATACATTTTACCACTTAAAGATAACTTACAGTTAAGAACTTTCAGGGAGAAGAGGTAGGAGTGATAGCCCAGTGGGTAAAGTGTTTGCCTTGCAAGCCTGAGAACTGAGTTTGATCCCCAGATCCCACATTTTAAAACATAAAGAGCAACAGCAGCAGCAGCAGCCTGGAGAGACGGCTTAGTGGTTAAGAGTACTTGATGTTCTTCCAGATGTCCATTATGTTCCCAGAATCCATGTGAAGAGCTTATAATTGCCTGTAACTCCCCTTCCGGCCTTCCTGTACACACACACACACACACACACACACACACACACACACACACACACACACACACGCTGCCACAGTTTACTTCCTATCTACTGTGACCAAAATCAATACGGGGAGGAGAGGGATTATTTCTCCTTCCACTCCATTGTGAAGGGAAGTCATGGCAGGAACTCAAGGCAGAAAACACGAGGAACTGAGGCAAGGCTGTAGTGGACAGATGGATTTCCTATACTTTCCCAGGGGTGGCACTACCCACAGTAGGCGGGGACTTTCCAAGTCAATTATCAATCAAGAAATGCCCCTATAGTCTTGCCTACAGGCCAATCTGTTGGAGTTGGTCTTCCTTCCTTCCTTCCTTCCTTTCTTTCTTTCTTTCTTTGTTTGTTTCTTTCTTTCTTTCTTTCTTTCTTTCTTTTCAACTGCTTAAAGCTTCTTGATTGCTATCATGCCTTGCTGATGAGAGGGACAGGTAAAGACACAGACAGACAGAGAGATAGAGAGACACACAGAGAGAATAAACACTACTACCCCAGCTCTTCTGCTGTCATTCTAAGATGGTTAAATTATAAAGTTAGCTACCCATGTTTATTTTCAACATTGCAAAGGATGGGTGTCATTAGTTAACACAGCACAACCACCACTAACTCTAGCTCCAAGGGTTTTTGGTGCCCTCTTTTGGCTTCCAAGAGCACCTGCACTCATGTGAGCAAACTCACATACAGACACATACACATTTTTTTTTTTTTTCATTTGAAACATATTGTGAAGGCATTTCACAGGGGACTCCTGTTGTAGCCTCTCTGCATCCTGTTTTAGGGGCCTGAGGCTTGGGCTACTTTACAGCCAGCTATTTAAGTTAATCTGTCTTTGCCTCCTCTGCAGGAGAATACAAGTACACCACCTCTTCTGGCATTTCCCCCTAGATTCTGGGGATCATTCCCACATCTTCATGCTTGCAAAGCCATCACTTTACAGACTGGGCTCTGTCTCCAGTTGGTGCACGACGTTCTTGAAGCTCTTCCTACCACTTGTGTGCCCTGGGTTTTGAGAAGCCACTGTTCTGTTTGGATTGAACCCATAAGTACAAAGTACAAAGTTCTCAAAGGACAAACGTCTACTTCGTTCACTTCCTTATCAATTCCTAAGACTTCAGGGATAGGCGCTGTATCAGTCAGGGCTCTCTGGAGTAACAACTTACAGAATGAATATCTGAATGACGTACAGGCTGGACTCAGCTAATCCAACAAAGGCTGGCTATGAACCAAAAGCCCAAGAATCTAGTAGTTGCTCAGTCCACAAGGCTGGATGTCTCAGCTGGTCTTCAGTATATACTGGAGTCCCAGAGTAGGCTCTAATGTCAGTGAGGGAAAGGGTGTGCTAGCAAGGCAAAGAGCAAAAGCTTCCTTCTTCTATACCCTTCCAACAGAAGATGTGGCCCAGATTAAAGGCACGTCTTTCTGCCTCGAAGGTCTGGATTAGAAGTGGGTTCACCCACTTCACACCAGGCAAAAGGTCTCCCACAGGCGTGCCCTCCGTTTCTAGACTGTAGTTCCTTCCAGATCAAGTTGACAACCAAGCACAGCCTTCACAGGAGCTGGAATGATCGCGTAGTGGTGAAGGGCTCCTACCGCTCTGGCAGAGGTTTGGTTCCCAGCAGCCACACGATAGTTAGTTCACAATTATCTGTCTCCCACATTCCAGGGCATCTCATGCCTTCTGACTGCTGTGAGTACAAGGTGGACAGGAATACAAGCAGGCAAAACAGCCAAACGTCTAAAATAAAGGAAATAAAAAATTGTATTCAGAGATATAATCTCAAGAAACACAAGAATTTACAGTTCTCCACCCCTGCTTCCCCAGCCACACCCCTGCTTCAGTAAAGCTCTAGCCCAGCAAACAAGTTAGTGCCTCTTCTGCCTCCATCTCTTAAGAAAAGAAAACAAGCTGGGAAGCGGTTGTGGAGCAGGTGCTGGGCTGGTGAGGAAAGAGCCAAGGCTTTCTTTCGTTAGCTGCCATCCTCCGGGACACACAGGGGGATATGAAGTGATGCAGCAGCTGGTATCACAGGAACACAGCACTCCGCGATCTGTGAAGTACTTCTCCCAGAAAGACTCAGGACGTCAGGATGGGATGGCTTGGGGATTATTACTTCAAATGAGGTTTCCTGGAAATAAGATGCAGAGGAAGGGAGGCAACAGACCTAAATAATCCCTTTTGGGGGATTCTGCCCCCAGGTCCATATATTAATAACTTGCACAGGAGCATTTGATTTGATTTTTTAAATAAAATTAATTTTAAATTAAAAACAATCTTCTTGTACACACCAATCCCAGTTCTTTCTCCCTCCCATCCTCCCATGTGCCCCACCGACACCCCCCTCCATCCAATTTTGGGGAAGGACCTAGGCCCTCCCCCATGTATCTAGGCTGAAAGAGTATCCCTCCATAGGGATACCCATTCGAGCACTAGGGGTAAATACTGGTTCTACTGCCAGAGGCCTCATAGACTGCCCTGGCCTCCCAACTGACACCATGTTTAGGGGGCCTGGTTTGGTCCTAACCTGGTTCTCCAGCTGTCAGACTGGGGTCCATGAGCTCCCACTTGCTCAGGTCAGCTGATTCTGTGGGTTTCCCCAGCCTGGTCTTGACCCCTTTGTTCATCATTCCTTCCTCTCTGCAACTGGATTCCAGGAGTTCGGCTTAGTGTTTAGCTGTGGATGTCTGTTTCTGCTTCCATCAGCCACTGGATGAAGGCTCTAGGATGGCATTTAAGGTAGTCATCAATCTCATTATGGAAGAACATTTAAGGTAGCCTCTCCACTATTGGCACAAGAGAAAGTGCATCTGCCCAAGGACTGACTCGGGAGCTAGGAGCTTCCAAAGCGAGGCCTGGAGAGAACTGAACTTACAGCATCAGAACTCACAGGAGGAGGGGAGGGGAGGGGATAAGAAGGGAGGGAAGGGGTAAAAATGCTATAAATCCTCAGGACATAGGGAAATACATTTTAAGAAGCTCCGTGGAGGCCAAGAAACTAGAAGACGGTTCTTAAGAGGACGAGAAGAGGCTTTGAGGCAGCGGGATGGGAACAACTACAAAACGGTTGACTGGAGGAATACTGGAGGTGGAGGGATTTGGGAAGCGAGAGGATGGGGCAGTGAATAGTAGGGAAAACAGGATGGGCATTCAAGTAAAACTAAGGATTACGAAAATGCCATAAGGAAATCTGCTACTTTGTAAATCGATTTTTAAAAAATAGAGTTGGGAATGGTGAGATAAACCTATAATCTCATTATGTCGGGTGTGGAGTATCGTAAATTTGCTATATAGCAAGAAAAACGAAAGGAAAAATAGAAAAAAAAAGTATTTTAAGGAAAAAAATTAGAAAAGAGAAAAAATTAAAAAGAAAAAGAAAAAAAAAGGAAGAAGAAGCCTGGGCGGAATCTTGAGCTCGGTGCCGCCCCTGAGGGGAGGAGCGGTACCCAGGGTCCCGCCCCGCCCAGCAGCGCCTTCTGCCCTTGCGCAGGCGCAGTGGCACAGCGCTTCCGCCCTAGTGCGCATGCTCCACGGGGCCACGGTTCTCCGACCGGCTGTGGTAGTGTCAGCTCCTGTGAAGGAAGTTTCCGCTTTGCACCCCACCCGGGTCACAGTTCGGCTGTAGGACCGGCTCCCTCCCGCTCCACATCAGCGCATCGGGACCATGGGGTTGCCCAAGGGGCCGGAGGGCCAGGGGCTCCCCGAGGTGAGGACCTGTGTCCCTGACACCCTGGGATTGCTGGCGGAGAGAGGGCCAAGCCCGGGGCGGCGGGCAGGGACGGGCAGGGACCGGCTTGGGAGGCGGCGGGGACACTCTGCGGTTGCTCAGATGTGTCTGCTCCAAGGCGGGCCCTGGGTACCCTGGAGGAACCGCTGACTGGTCCCCCGGCGTGCAAGGGTGCAGCGTGTTGCTGGATGCTAACTTAACGATTCCTGGATCCTCTGGGGGACAGGGCGAGCGGTCCCTGCCCAGCTGCAACCTCACACATGACGATGTCCCCGGGAGTCCTGACTCGGGCTGTCTGGAAGCCCCTGACGTTGTGAGACTGGCTCCCCGAGGCCAAGACTGCTGCGATCAGGAGTCTCAGCAGTCACGAGACATTCAGAGGGACTGTCCTGGCCCCGGGTGTGCAGAGGGCGGTGACCTTGGGACTCAGGTCTCCTTCCGTGGGGGTCCAGGTGGCAACCTCTCATTCCCATTAGTCGGGAAGGAATGCCACCTTACCGGCTTGTTAGACGCCCCCCCCCCCCCCCCCCCCCCGGCACACACATTCATCGCTCCCGGGCCCGGGAAGATGGAGGAAGTTTGGGAGGGAGCCTTGTGCACATCGGGGTGGCGGCAGAGTTGAGGACACCCTCTCCTGTGGTGCCCTGTGCCTGGACAGGAAGACTGCACTAAAGAGGGACGACCTTTGCATGTGTGGTGTGGTTTGGTGGTACTCAATTAGTACGAGAGTTCGATCCTAGGAACAGGATTTCCATGCTTGCTTGGAGTAAAAGCTCAGCTATCCTCTTTGGGTCACTGTTAGAGCTTTGCTACCGGATTTACTCAAAGCCCAATGGTCAGTGAAGAGACCCGGTTCCCAGAGAGAAATAGGGAACACCCCTGCTGCACTTGGACCCCTTTCTAAGGTTGGCTTTGGCAGAGGCGTGCCTGGTTCTTTGGCACTGTGCCTAATACCCACCAATAGTCGCCTGCACCAATCTTGCCTTCCTGTGCTGCTCACAGATCTTTCTGTTACAGTACCGGGACCCTGTGTTCTCTGTGCTCAGGTGAGGCTGTAGTAGTGGAAGAGCTAAGGTGCCATCAGTTGTCACAACTCCATTAGGTCAAACTTCTCGGACGTGTTGTTCTGATTTTACCTGGGATTGTGAAGAGTGGGGTCTGCACTGTAATAGTTCAAGGTTTCTTTGCCACTTGAGATCTCTGTCTGTCTATCTATCTATCTATCTATCTATCTATCTATCTATCTATCTATCTCTATCTGTGTGTGTGTGTGTGTGTGTTCATGTCTATGGAGGCCAGAATATATGCTCCCTTGCCACCCTCAAGAACACTGAAAACTGCTTTGAAACAGTCTGATTGGCCTGAAGCTTGCCAAATAGGCTACACTGCTTGGCCAGTGAGTCCCAGGGATCCTTCTGTCCTGGGATTACAAGTGCACAGCCCCGTGCCTGCCGTGTTTGTGTGGGATCTGGGGATTGAACTCAGATCCTCATGTGGGTGAGGCAAGCACCCGCAAGTGAGCTGTTGTCCTCCCTCCGAGGCTTTTCCTGGCCTTCTGCTATGGAGTGTTGTCTAGGCTTCTAGTTCTACCGTAACGCCTTCAAATTTGCGGGTGTTTTTTGGCAAACAAACCACTCTTATGAGTTTGCTGGGCTCTTCATGGATGGCGGGAGGCTGGCTCTGGTTTGATGCACTTTTCTCTAGCCTGGTCTGCATGAAGAGTTCTAGACCAGCCAGGGTGACATACACAGTGTGACCCTGTCTCAAAAGAACCAATGCCTATATTATATAGTATATAGGTAGGTATGCGTTTAAGAAAAGATGTTGGCTTTGTTTCCTAAAAACTATAGCACAAGGATAAAATGTAAAAGATCCAAATAATGAGGATTCATGGTAGAGTGCTTGCTTAGCATGCTTGAGCCATGGGTTCTATCCCATGGTGGTGCATGCCTGTCATCTCAGACCTGGGGAGGCAGGAGAATCAGAAGTTCAAAGTTATTGTCCTTAACTGCAGGCAAGTTCAAGGCCAACCTCAGGTACATGGGACCCTATCTTAAGAGACAAAACAACATTCCTGTCACTTGGCTCTCACTAATCCAGTTAATTCATGTCATTCAGTTTTTAAGTTCCTTTGTGTCTATATGAAAGAAAGAAAGAGAGCTAGACCCTTCTTCTAGCTTCTGTGAGCTACAGTGGAGAGCAGGGTAGTTGGGAATTTATTTGGCCTGGTTTAAGGGCTCATGGTGATTCGTCTTCATTAATGCTTTGGTTATAGATTTATTTATTTTCTTCTTCTATATATGTCTGTGTGTCTTCATGTGCCAGTGACTTTGGGGGGGGGGGGGCTATGAAGACCAGAAGAGGGTGTCAAGTACCCTGGAGATGAGGTCAGGTGGTTATGAGCTGTCTGATGTGGGCTAGGGAAACTGAACATGGGTGTTCTAGAAGAGCAGTGTGTTCCCTTAAGCCCTGAACTATCGTTCTGCCCTTCAGTCGTCTGGTTTAGTAACTGGATGTATTAACCAGTGTGTAGTGGTTGTTTTATGGTTTCAAGAAGCGATGGTCTTTTGTTTTCTGTGTGTCAGCCCATGGCACCTTCCCATTTTGTTTCAGTGCTAATGGGTAAAGTGAATTCAGGACCAGGCATCCCTACTCAGTGTCTTGTGTCAATACTTATTTCACTGGTTCTCTTGCAAAAATTCAGTTCTACATTCTGGGGTGAGTGGACAAGAGGCCTGAGCCATTCACTTGCATGGGCGCCCAAAGGAATGATGTACACGTGAGTTGAGGTGGGAGGTAGATGGTCCTTGGGCGTGTAGTGTCCTCTTGGAGTGTCTTCATGACACGTGAAGACTGACTATTTGAAGGATTCACACTGTGCATGTGTGTGTGTATGTGTTTACATATGTTCACGTGTGTGAGTACATGTGTATGTGCAGATGTGTAAGTGTGTGTGAAGGCCTGAGGTGGACATCAGGTTTCTTCCTCAGTCAATCTCTACCTGATTCATCGAGGCAAGGCCTCTCAGTTGAACCCAGAGCTTACCAGTTGGGCTACTCTAGCTACTAATAGCTAGTTTGTGTGGTCTTTGCTTTCCAAGCTTGTAACCACGGGTGGGTCATCATACCTGCCCAGCATTTACATGGCTTCTGAGGATCTGAACTCTGGTCCTTGTGCTAATGGGATACGTGCTCCATTCACTAAGCCATCTTGGGATTTTTGAGAAAATACTGCAGTGATTCAGAGGAAGTCTGCAGACCTTTGGCAAAGCAACTGTAGTACCGGAAGAGTATATTTTGTTTCCATTCAGTCAAGATGGCCTTTACCAGTTATACACATCCCTTTTGTTCTAGGTGGAAACGAGAGAAGATGAAGAGCAAAATGTCAAGTTGACTGAAATTCTGGAGCTCTTGGTTGCAGCTGGGTATTTCAGAGCAAGAATCAAAGGCTTGTCTCCTTTTGACAAGGTAAGAGAAAGTCTTGCTAACCACTGCGCTGTTCTTCGAAGGATTGCATGGTTAACCAAGATAGTGGAGGATGAAGTGATGGTGTCTCCCCAGGCAGATTCGTCTCGGGTGTACTCAGACTTCCAGCTACAAGTCAGTAGATGCAATTGGATCCCTTTTCTGTGCAGTGTTTTAGGAGTAAACAAGCAAAGGAGCTATTTTTTCAGGCTGTGACATGGCTTAGATTGTCAGTAAAATGCATGCTGGGAAAGCACGGGGAGCTGCCATGGAACCCCAGAATCCACGTTTAAAAAAAAAAAAAAAAAGCCAGGCATGGTGGCATGCTTGTAATTCCGATCCCTGGAGCTCCCTGGCCAGCATAGCCAAAATGAGTTCTAGGACAGTGAGAGACCTTGTCTCAACTATGTGTATGCATGTGTGTGTATATACACATGCACATGCATGAACACTACTTACACACAAGAAATTGTTTCTCTTTTAAGGAACCTGCAGTTTGGGTAGGGATTATACAAGATATGTAGAAAATAACCTGAGTTCATAGTTATCCTATATCACGTGCTTGGAAACAATAGCAGCTATTCTGTAGATGGCAGCTGCTGTGTTTAGAGGCCGGAGCTTCACCATGGGATGGCATCTTAAGATTTATTTTCCTTTTAATTACGTGTGTGTGTGTGTGTGTGTGTGTGTGTGTGTGTGTCAGTGTGTACAGGTGCCCATGGAGGCTCGGAGAGGGCATTGGACCTCCTGGAGCTGGAGTTACAGTGTGGGTTCTAGGAACCAAACTCAAGATCTCTGCTAGAGCAACTGTTCACCGCTGAGCCGTTTCTCCAGCCCTAGGATCACGCTTTTTAAATTGTGAGAGCTGTGAATGGTTATCATGCATAGGACATAGACTGAGGTGTTGAGGACAGTAGCCCTTCCCTCAGAGAGCTCCACTGTCACAGTGTGACAAGTGAACCAACAGGAGGGACTATATGATACTGAGTAGACTGTGTTCCTCAAGCATCTGGGACTAATGGCAAGGTAGGCCAGGAAATTGTGCTGCCTGCTCCGGGGTGTCCTCTTCCTGTTTGTAGCAGAACCCTCAAGGGATGTTTTATAAGAAGCATGTCCAGACCTCCCCCACTGAACGGCTTAGGCAGGTCTGGGCTGGGGACCTGGAAATGTGTATTTTATTGTACATCTCAGCTGTTAAATAAGGAGCCAGAGAATGTCAGCCTTGCTGCCTGTGTGGCCGGTGGGTAAAACATGTAATTTCAGTCAATCTGGCAGTAAGAAGCCGGGTAAGACAGCTCTCATTGCTACACAAGTATGAGGATCTGAGGTCAGGCTCCAGAATGCATGTAAAAGGCTAGCCGTGGTGGTGGGCAGTTGTACTCCCAGCATTGGGGAGATGGAGGATCCATGAGGCTCCCTGGCTGGGGTGAGCTCCAAGTTGAGTGAGCAACCCTGTCTCGGAAGCTTCAGGCATAGAGTAGTTAAGGACACTTGATGTCTCTCATATGCCCACGAACAGGTGAACACATGCACACATACCCACCCATCATATACACGCATACAAAAGAAGCCCCTGAACACATAATGTCTGACCGTTGCTTTGGAAGAGGGTCGATGAGTGATGAGACCATTTCATACTAACAGTGAGCTTCTCAGCGGCCCTGGCAGCACTTTGAATGATCAGTAGCCATGCAGGGATGGCAGCGTCCGTAGCACACAGTATGGGGAGAGACATGGCCACCACTGCAGAAGGATTTAGAGCAATTCTCGCTGAGGAATGGTGGGTAAGGAAGACACGTTCCCTTTAAAGATGCATTATTTGGGAAGGCTGCAGAGATAGCTGTCAGTAAGTGTTATACATGTGTGAAGATGACCTCAGTTCAACCTCCCCCCCCCCCCCAGGATCCATATCAAAATCTGGGTGCCGTGGTGGACACTTGTCATCATGTGGCACATGAAGACAGGAAAATTCGTGGAGCTCTCTGGCCAGCCAGCCTAATCAAACTGGCAAGTTCCAGGCCAGTAAGAGATTCTGTCTCAATAAACAAGGTCTACAGTGTCTGAAGATGGAAGCCAGTGTTTGGTGTCTGGCTTCTACATGTGTGCACACACCCACGAACACACGTGCAATTCACAGCCGGTTATTTATAGTTTTGTGTACTTACTGAGTCTGTATGAACTGTTTAGGAATTCGGCTCACACACGCCGCCCCCTACCCTCCCCCCTACCCCCCACCCCCCACCCCCCACCCGCCCCTCTTGAGGGGCTCATGAGAAACAGCACTCTCCTTTCTTGCAGGTAGTAGGAGGGATGACATGGTGTATCACCACTTGCAACTTTGATGTGGATGTTGATTTACTCTTTCAGGAAAACTCTACAATTGGTCAAAAAATGTAAGTTGCCAGGGTTTGCCATAGAAGGATCTAATGGGGGTGGGGGCTTATGGTGGAGGTGGTGTTTGCATGTTTATGCTTATATACACATTCTTTTTCTTCTCTCATGCTTTAAAGCTGTATTTAATCTGGTGTGTGTGTGTGTGTGTGTGTGTGTGTGTGTGTGTGTGTCTGTAAACAAGTCGGGATAACCTAGGTTCTTGCTTCTAAAGCTTTGTCTACTTTTTTTAAGGACAGCATCTCTCGCTAGCCTGGAATTTGCAAAGTAGGCTAGGCTGACAAGCTAGTGTCTTCCAGGGTGTCTACGCCTCTCCAGTGCTGGGATTATAATTGTGCATCACCCTGCCTCACTTACTGCCTCCCTGCATGGGTTTAGGATTACAACTCAGGTCCTTGGACTTGCAAGGCATTCCCTTTACTCACTGAGCCCTCTCCCGAGCCCAAGGTTCTGTTTTGTTGTTTGTCTTTTCAAGACAGGGTTTCTGTGTATTGCTTTGGAGCCTGGCCTGAAACTAGCTCTGTAGTCCAGGCTGGCCTAGAACTCACAGAGATTTGCCTGCCTCCCAAGTCCTGGGGGATTAAAGGTGTGCACCACCAACCCCCGGCCCAAGATTCTATTTGTTAACCCATTAACATCATATGGTTTGTCCTAGTTTCTAAGTGTGAAGAGTAGAAGGTTTTAACCTCTCTATTTGGCCTGCTACCTCCAACTACAATCCTAACATTACCTTCAAAATGATAAAGGGTATAAGGTTTATGATAACAATTAACTTTCTATAATTTATCTGCAGGTAGATTCTTAAATGTATAATCATTTTTATAGTAATTACTAAATATAAGAATGGGATCCAAAAAATAAGGAAATGTATTTTTCTTGACCTAATGCTACTTAAAAGTTTATGTGTGTATGTGCAGATCAGAAGACAACTAGGTCCCAGTATGGTGAGTGAGTGTGTGTGTGTGAGTGTGTGTGTGTGTGTGTGTGTGTATCAGAAGATAACTAGGTCCCAGTGTGGTGTGTGAGTGAGTGTGTGTGTGTGTTTCAGAAGATAACTAGGTCTCAGGGATTGAACTCAGGCTGTCAGGCCTAGCAGCAAGTTTCTTAACCCACGGAGCCACCTTGCCAGTGTAAATGGCACTTTTTTAAGGAGAAAACGGAAAGAGTCTCTTTGTTAACCCTTCCAATAAATATTCATCAGGTCTGTATGAATGCTGTAGGTCAGACGTTATTGTGGGCTCTTTGGGAACGCTGAGGAGACGTGCCCTGCCTCCGTAAGGCTTATAATTAGTGTGACACAGATGTCAAATAAGGAGTAAACTGTGTGGCTGAAAAGATGTCGTCGTGGTTAAGAATACACACTGCTCTCGCAGAGGATGAAAGTTTTATGCTCTGCCCCAGCATTGGGCAGCTCACAGCTCTCTGTGTTGTCTGTCTTGGTTATTTTTCTACTGTCGTGAATAAAACACCAGGACCAAAAGCAACTAGGGGAGGAAGCGTTTATTTCACTCACATTCCCACATCACAATCCACCTTAGAAGGGAGTCAAGGCAGAAACCTCTCCAGGAAATAAGGGGGTGCTACTTACTGGCTTGCCCTCCAAGGCTTGCTCGGCCTGCAGCCACCAGCCCAGGGGTGGCACCGTACACCGCGGCCTGGGCTCCCCCCACCCCCATAAATACTCAGTCAAAGAAAATGTGCCACAGGCTTGTCCACAGGTTCTAGTGGCTGTATTTTCTCATGATGTTCCTTCTTTGCAAATGACAATAGCTTGCACTAAGTTGACATAGAACTAACGAGCCGAGCTTAACTCTAGCTCCAGGGTATCCGATGCCTCTTTCTGGGCACACACATACATAATTAAAGAGTAAATCTTGAAGGAGACAGAGACGTGCAGTTCTGAGTGGCATGAGCAGGGTGGCACTGTGGGAAAGGGTTCTAGGTGAAGGGACCCTCTTCCCAGCTCTGTGCCTGCATTTTGTCATTTGGCCTGCCTTTGAGCAGGTGAGATGAGCATTATTCTTTTTTTTTTTTTTTCCTTCCACGTTTTAAGTTTTTTGCTCTGTGTGTGTGTGTGTGTGTGTGTGTGTGTGTGTGTGTGTAACTTGGTTCTCCTCTCCCACCATGCGGCTGCTGGAGCCTGGACTCAGGTTGTCAGCCTTGCCACAAATGCCTTTACCCTCTGAGTAACCTTTCAGTCCCAGTTGTTTCTCCTTTTGTTATGGGTCTGCCAGACACGCTGGCGCTGGCGACTCACTAGAAGTCCTAGAGGTGCTGATAGGGCTGGGGTTTAGATCCAGGACAAATCGACTGTAGTGGAGGAGGAAACAGTATGTCTAACACTGAAAGCTCAAAAAGACTTGTCTAGGTGTGGTGGTGCTCACCTATAATCCATGCGTTCAGGAAGCTGAGGCAGGAGGATTATAATTCTGAGGCTATCCAGGGCTATATAACAAGATCTTGCCTGTAGGTCACCTGTAGTGACAGTGGTCTTACTAAAATCTTAAGCTGGGAAGCTTGCCTGGTGACCTACACTTGTCCCTTGTTTTATTGATTCTGTTCGGTTGCTGTGGTAGACGCCATGATCAAAAGCAGCTTAGGGAAGGGCAGAGATTATTGGGCTCACGGGTCACCGTCCACCTTTGAAGAAGTCAGGGCAGCAACTTAATCAGGAATGGGAGCATGTCTGCAGCAGAACCCTGCTGGCTCACTCACCTCCAGGCTCACGCTTGGCTAACTGTCTTACACACTCCAGGACAGACTGCGTAGGGGTGGTGCTGCCCACCGTGGACTGGGCAGTCTGTAGCAGTTAACAGGATTCCCCCAAGCATACACACAGGCCGGTCTGATCTGGGCAGTTCCTCAATTGAGGCCCAAGACACAAGGCTGCGTCAGCTTGACAGAGCTTTACTCACTAGGACACCCCTCCTTCTGACTTTTTAGGAAGCCCGACTTCCCCCGGTAAAGCAGATGGCCCTCTCTAGAACATCTTCCTGACTTCCTTCCCCTGCCCCACCCCCGCCCCGTGCTTCCACTTCCTTCCCTGCCTCCTGCCTTCAGGGTTAGTGCTGGCAGCCACTCCCACTTGTCCCCAGGACTGTCTGGACTTGGCTATAGTTTCTGGGAGGCAGTTTTAAGAGGCTCATAAAACCCAAAGTGGCTTGCTGTATCCTTCCCTCCAGGCGTTTATGAATTGCCTGATTAAGCTGGCTCTGAGGAGTGAGTGGCCAGGGAGAACCCTCTCTGTAGGCAGAAGCTTGGCTGGGTGGTGTTGAAGTCCCCCCCCCCTTTGGATTTTAAGTGACCCAATGGTTCTTTTGTAAGCTATAGCTCTGCAGCCCACTAGAGGGAGCACCCCTCCCGCTGAAGAACATCATGACAGTGTGCTGCTCATAAAGACCTGATGAGACAGACCCCATGAGCCAGTACTTAGAACCAGAGAGAGAGCTGTTTTTCTCCACTGGCTTAGTGTGGAGTCTGGGTAGATGACACCCCCCCCCCAGCACCACATGCAATAGGGTACAGTGACACAAAGTTCTAACACCAGCACCGTGGCGGAGGCAGGAGCATCATCCTTGTCTACTTAGCAAGTTGAGGCCAGACTGAGCTGTATTAGCATTAGACCAGAGATGGAGGGAGGGAGGGAGAGAAGAGAGGGAGGGAGGGAAGGAAGGAGGGAGGGAGAGAGAGAATAAATTATAAGAAGCCTCAGTTTTGCGACCTTGCACGCACACGGCTTCATTGCACTTCTCCCGTGCTGAGACTTCTGGGGAGGATTTGCCTAAACATCAGCGATGTCTTTAGAGCCGCTCAGTACCCTCACTCTGCTTGTTCGTCGTTGTTTTTTCTTTTTTCTGCACAGAGCTCTATCGGAAAAGATTGTCTCGGTTCTCCCAAGGATGAAGTGTCCCCACCAGCTGGAGCCCCACCAGATCCAGGGCATGGACTTCATTCACATATTCCCTGTCGTGCAGGTGAGGGCTTCTGTGGAGATTCTTGTCTCTGAACCAAGAGTCCCTGGAACACACCTGGCTCTCAGGCAGCCCAGCCTGGATCGTGGGTGTAGTGAGTGCCGGATGGATTTGGCGCAGCATGGTTGATGGGGATTCTTGCCATCATTCATAAAAGGCAGCTGGTGTTCCATGTGCCATAGTTTCACATTGGCCTCTGCTACGATCTTTGAACATTCCCATTAGATGCTTTTGTTTTTCTTTCTTAACTCTGTGTGTGTGTGTGTGTGTGTGTGTGTGTGTGTGTGTACGCGCGCATGAGTGTGCATATATAGGTTTCTTAGTGCACCAGTGTGGAATTGCGTATGTGTAGGGGCATACATGTATGTGTAGGTGTCTGTGTATGTAGGTATACACATGTATATGTGCATATGAGTACATGCATGTGAAAGCCAGAGAACAGTGTTGGTCATTGATCATTAGGTGTCTGCCAAGTAGACTACACCAGCTGGCTAAGACTTGTCTTCTCCCATACTGGATCTGAGTCTATGAAAGTAGATACTCTTCCCAAGTGCTAGAGGATTCATGGTAAGAAGGTTCCCTCCATTACCGTTGACTGAACAGTTCCTCTGAGAGGCTCCTTGGATGCAGCCTCCTTTACCTTCTCTATGATCCAACAAAGAACATCTCCAAAGATGGAATAGAAACAGACATGAAGGTCAGACTCGGGGTCCGGTGATCCCTCCACAAGAGACAGAGATGGACTGAGATGAACTCTGCATGATTAGTTCATTTTTGTTGTTGTTGGTTGGGTTTTTTTGTTGTTGTTTTGGTTTTGGTTTGGTTTGGTGTTTCGAGACAAGGTTTCTCTGTGTAACTTTCGAGCCTGTCCTGGAACTTGCTCTGTAGACCAGGCTGGCCTTGAACTCACAGAGTTCCTCTTGCCTCTGCCTCCCGAGTGTTGGGATTAAAGGCGTGCGCCACCAAGCTCAGCTTGGGGTTTTTGTTTTTTGGAGATAGGGTTTCCCTGTGTAGCCCGTTCTATTCTGGAGCTCAGTCTGTAGATCAGGCTGGCTTCAGACTCACAGAAATCTGTGTGTCTCTGCTGGAATTAAAGGCATACGCCGCCACCCCTGACTTCATGGTTAGTTCTCATGTTCTCATCTTCAGTTTGACACAGTGAGAGCCACGTTGGAAGGGAGTAGCACGGTACTGTGTAGATTGGCCTGCCTGTGGGTATGTCTGTGAGGGATTGTCTTGGTTGCTGGAATTGGTGTGGGAAGACTCAGCCTGCAGTGAGTAGAGAAAGCTAGCAGAACACCAGACCTGCATGCATCCCTTTCTCTCTGCGCTCGGCTGTGGCTGGGATGTGACTGTTTGCAGTTCCTGACTTGACTTCCTCACAGCCATAGACCTGCAGCCTGTAACTGAGATGAAAGAAACCTTTCCTCTCCTACACGGTTTTCTAGCTCAGCAGCAGACAGGAAACTAGGGCAGGCACCATGAGACCCAGGGCCATGGTTCTTGATGGGAATAGAGGAGGCTCCAGTACAGCCTAATTCTCTCTTCCTGCCCTGCTTATGAATTCAGGCAGTGTCTGCTGGCAGAGGGGTTGATGTAGAAATAAATGGGAGATGGTAATAACAGAAGCATTCATCCTAGGATATATACAGCACAGGCACATGTCCCATGGTGTATGTGCTATGTAGCATGTTATATTCGGAAGCCAACCTAGTTTGGGCACCTGCTTCCTACTCGCGGCCTTTTACTTGTACTGGCTGCCTTCTGAACACGCAGAATTTGAGTCACTGAAATGACTCTCTAGGTAAAGCACTTGTAAAACCCTGAAGACCTCAGTGTGATTCCCAGAACCCACATAAATTTGGGAGAAGTGAAGTGACTCCACAGGTGTGTACCCTGCACACAATTAATAATAATAATAATGACTATAGAATTTCCCCATTCCTACAAGATTACCTTGCTATGGGTGTAGGCAACTCAGCCTGGTCAAGTGTGCTGAGCCAAATTGCTTTGAGGATGTAGCAGCGCCCTCTGAGGAGGGACTGTCGATTTTGATAAATGCTTCTCTCTTCCACTGTGCTCTTGAATGATGGAAAGAATGAATGAAGAGTAGGAAGGAGACGTAGATGCTCAGTGCTTGCATTGTGTGTGTGTGTGTGTGTGTGTGTGTGTGTGTGTATGTGTTGTACACATTTGTGTTTGTGCACGTTGTATGACCAAACTTCTCTTGGGGAGGGCACACACATATGTCTGTCTACAACAGACCAGAGTGTGGCTACCACCAAAGTCCAACCTGGTGAACCAGTGAGTTTTATTAGAGTTACTTACAGGAGTATGGGTGAGGGGTTACCTATAGGAGCAGAACTGACTCAATACAGTTGCATCACCAAGGCCCATCCGAGCCTCGCTGACCGCTAGTGGACCCCGGGCCCGCTGCATAGCCTGCAGGATGCTCAACAGGTGGAGAGTGCCCTTCCTAGGTCTAAACCTCTTCCAGGCAGCTGCCCTGGCCCCCGCTTCTTCTGGGCTGCTGGACTGGTCTCAGAGTCTCTGCCGCTTGCCTTCCCTTGACAGAGGCAGACAGGTCTGATGACATGACTATAGCTTTCAAATGCTGCAGTTACTTACGGCCGGTCACACAGGGTCACCTGGGCTTGGCTTCTCAGATGCCCAGCTAGATGCTCTTCTTAGTGGAACAGTGTGTGCTCATGATTTCTCCCCAGTTTGGTCGTGCCGATTTGAGTTCTCAGGCTGAGCACATTCACTGCAGTAGGAGCCCGTCTCTGTGACCTCACACTTCCTCCTCAGGCTGAGCACATTCACTGCAGTAGGAGCCCGTCTCTGTGACCTCACACTTCCTCCCCTTCTTCCCCAGTGGCTGGTGAAGCGAGCTATAGAAACAAAGGAAGAGATGGGTGACTACATCCGCTCCTATTCTATATCCCAGTTCCAGAAGACCTACAGCCTCCCGGAGGTCAGTACTGTTCTCCACCTTCTGCTTATTTATTAGCTGTTTTTCGGTTCTATATGTTCAATTTCTCTCCATGTTGCTTTGGAACCCGTCCTGGAACTAGCTCTGTAGACCAGGCTGGCCTCGAACTCACAGAGATCCTCCTGCCTCTGCCTCCAGAGGGATTAAATAAAGGCATGGGCCACCAAAGCCCTGCCTGGCCTGACTTTTTTACTTGGGTTCTGGGGTGTGTCCAATTCAGGGCTTCATGCCTGTGAGACGGGTGCTTTAGTGACTGAGCCACACCTCCTTAGACAACGATTCTATTTTTGTAGAAAGCTTTTTAGGAGACTTCTTGTGTAGTACATTTCCTGTAGGCGCAGTTTATAGTACTTGCGACAGTAAGATTACTAAACACCATCAAAGCCTTCCATCTTCATTCTGTCAACTGTTCCATCGTGTAGGCACTGGTCCCCTGTTCTGTAGATGGCAGAACTGAAGTTTAGAGTTTAGGTTCTTGCTGGAACATTCAGTGCTTTCAAGGACTGGGCATGCAGGTGTTTGTCTGAATCACTACCCTCCATAGCCTCTCTCTCCTACTAACTGTAAGCCTCTGCATTATTTGCAAAGGCCCTAGCTTTTGGGGAGATATATCCCAATATATAAGAAAACTGAGAGCTAGGGAGATAGCTCCTTGCAAGCAGGAGGTACTGAATTTAATTCCTGAATTGGAGTTGACGTTTTAAAAGGTAGGTTGTAATACCAGCTCTGAGGAAGTGGAAACAGGCTGGTCCCTAGGGCTCTCGGGCTTCCCAGCTTCAGGGCAGTGAGAGACTCTCCAAACCAGCACAGGGTGGACAGCACCTGAGGAAGAGCATCTCTGGTTGCCTTCTCTCCTCCGTATGCATGCATGCATGCATGCATACGCACAGATTTTCAAAAGCAAATCTGTAGCAGTGATGAGCAATTGTTCGATGAGGGAGATTTGTATGCCCAGTTGCGTTTAGCCCTCGGTAGAACTGGTTGACTCCTGTGTTCTGTCTTGCAGGACGATGACTTCATAAAGAGAAAAGACAAGGCCATCAAGACCATCGTTGACCTCTCAGTAAGTCCCCTTGCTCGTGTGCCTCAGTTCCAGCACTGCATAGCCTTCAGACACCTCCTTTAGAAGTCACATGTCAGCCGTTCGAGCGGTGGTGACGCACACCTTTAATCCCAGCACTGGAGAGCAGAGGCAGGCAGATCTCTGTGAGTTCGAGGCCAGCCTGGTCTACAAAGTGAGTTCCAGGACAGCCAGGGCTGCTACATAGAGAAACCCTGTCTCAAAAAGCCAATAGAAAACAAAACAAAATCCCACGTCACCCAGGAGTGGCAGCAGAAGAATGTTTGCTAGTATCCCTGCCTGCTTTACACACTCAGCACCAGGACACAGGCACCCCCTGGCATGCCCCAAGTGCTTAGATCCTGTTTTAAGGGAGAAAGGTTAGGATGTAGAGCACCGCTTCTTACACCAGCAACAGGAGTAGCAGCAGCTGAAGAACACAGGATGAATGGAACTCGGTGCCCCGCCAGCATCCCCATGATGGCTTTGGGAAGACAGAACAGCTTTGAGCTTACTCAGGAACGTCACCATACATGGTGCATTTTCATCCCTGGAGTCTTACACATGATCCACTTCCCCGGTGGGGGTGGGGAGCCTTGATAAGATGCCCTGAGCCAGAGTCAGACTAAAGCCTCTGGCCTTGAGTGAAGAGAACAGAGCCTCTATGCCCGGCGCACAGTTCTCCCTTCTAGAAGCAGCACACAGGGCTTATAACCTCATTGTGCCATAGCATATCTACCATTCTACTGCAGCTCATCTGCAAGGATCGGGTGTTAGCCCTCCCCTTTCACCTTGTTTAAGATAGGCTACTTTTGTTGGCTTTTTGACAGTGTACAGCAGGCCTGAGCGTTCCTGGTAATTCTCCTGTCTCCACTGTCTGCGTCCCCGCAGAAGAGCTAAGATTAAAGATTCTCGAATGAAACAAGGCAGTGGTGGCGCACACCTTTAATCCCAGCTCTCAGGCAGGTGGGTCTCTGTGAGTTCAAGGCCAGCCTGGTCTACAGAGCAGGTTCCAGGACAGTCAGAGCTATTCCACAGAGCACCCCTGTCTCAAGAAACCAGTAATAATAGTAACCCAGCCAGATTAAATATCTAATGTGTGTTTAATGCAGGTGACAGGGTTGCATTCTAAAGTTGGAAGTTGAGTTTGTGAGGGCGCTAGGGAATGTTTCCAGAGAAATAGTTCTGGACTTGTGTTATCTCAAAGTGATGAGTCTGGAAAGAACAAGTCACTTGATGATAAAACACACGAGGGACTCAAGCGAAGCAAAGTCTCTGTCACTTCATCCTTCTTGTTTGCTTGTAGGCCCCATTCCATGTGGAAAGCGGGAGAAAGTCCTCCAAGTTTTGTTTTTGAGACAAAGTTTGACCATGTATCCCGATTTCCTTGAAACTATGGTAATCCTCCTGCCTCAGCCCTTCCCGGTGGCAGGATTCCAGGTGTGCGCCATCATGTCCAGCTTAGTTGCACAGTTTGGTGCAGTCATGGACCCTGGACGTGGCACCTGTGTTGGACCCATAAGAAGAAGGTAGGGCCCGTAGCAGAGCTGTGCTCGTGGAAAGGGCAGACACAGGACGAGGTCTGGGCTGTGTCTAGAGAAGCATGCACAAATGAGTACTGTCTGTCTGTCTGTCTCAGAGTCTATGTCACTTAGTACTCAGGGGCCTTGATCTGTCTGTCTGTCTGTGTCAGAGTCTCTGTCACTTAGTATCCGGGGCCTTTTGATTTGTTTGCTGTTTTATTAATGTGGAAAAATCAGAAGGCGGGTTTGTAAGTTACAGCTGTTTGCTTGTGGGGTAGGGTGTTAGCACCTCTAGTGCCCTGGCGTGTGGGAAGCAATTTACGTACAGCTCCTCGACTGCAGGGTGCCTGTTAGAGGTGCTGTGATGGTCAGCTTTGAGTGTCAACTTGACCCCACTATAGGATCACCTAGGAAGCCGGTCTCGATGAGGGGTGGTCTAGAACAGGTTGTCCTGTGAGGAGATTGCCTTCATTGTTAATTGACATGGGAAGACCCGGCCACTGTGAGCAACGCCATTCTGTAGACGGGCTTCTGGGCTGTGTAAAAATGGAGGCATCGAGCTGAGCACCCACAAGCAAGCCAGATGCATCATCTATTCTATCTATCTGCTCTGACAGCGGATGTGATGTGGCCAGCTGTCCCACGCTTGCCTTGACTTCCCTGCTGGGATGGACTATAACCTAGAATCAGGAGCTACACAATCCCTCCCTTCCCTAAGTACTTCCTGTCGGAGTAGTTTATCAGAGTAACAGAAAGGAAACCTGAGCAGCCGCGCTAGGCTGTGAGAATGAGTGATTTGTGGTCGCCAGCCAGCGGGGGCAGCTTCCCTCTTGAGCAGGGTGTGTTGTGACCCACTAGAGTCTTTGAGTGTCGAACACAAGATTGCTAGTGGTGCTTTACTTCCCTGGATTCCAATAAAGAAGTTGTCCCTGGCAACTGTCAGAGCAGCGATCACAGGTTTGACACTTCAGCGGTCGGTGGCGTTCTCCCTGACCTGCCATTTCGGATGTGGGCTCAGGGGTGTCACTGTGACAGAGGAAAGCAGCTGTAACCATCCCTGCGAGCAAAGCTGCCATCCGACACACAGTTTTAAGGGTCACCTTAACTTTTAAATGCCATTTGTGTGTCCTTACCACTTGCCAAGGCAAAATGTCAGAGCCGGTGAGGAGAGATGATCAGAGGGAGGGAGGAAAAGGACCTGAAGAGCCCCGTCCAGTGTCATGCCTGTCACTTGATGCCTTGTCAGCTATGGGCAGGTTGCTTCAGCTCAGGACCAGTGAGGTGGCTCTGTGGTAGGGACACTTCCTAAGCTAATGACCCAAATTTGGGTCCCATCCCTTGAATCGCCTGGTAGAAGGAAAGGAATGATCCCCACAGATTGTCCTCTGACCTCGGCATGTGCACCATGGCATTGGCATGTGTGTGCACCCTCCCCCAGCCATGCAATAAGATGTGTAGTGTAGAGAAAACTCTGCAGGCTTTGTCTATAAACAGAGAAGAACGGTGTGGGCAGTGTTTATGGAGCTGCCAGTGCCGGATTGGCATGCGCTTAGAGCAAAACGGTATGGCTGGGCACATGACTCCGTGGGGAAAATGCTCCCTGGAAGGCACACGAGGAAGCCAGGCGTGGTGATAATGAGCTTGGCATCCAGTTGGCAGGTGACCGGATAGGAGGGTCCCTGGGGCGTGCTGGCAGACAGCCTCGCCAAATCAGTGAGTTTTGGTAAATGTGAGAGACCCTCTCTCATAAAAACCTCCCACTGAGGGTCTGGAGAGACTGCTCCGTGCTTAAGAGCACTGACTGCTCTTCCAGGGGACCTGGCTGGGTTCCGTTCCCGGCACCCACATGGCAGCTCACAACTGTGTAATTCCAGGTCCAGGCAATGGCGAAACACCATTGCACATTAAATAAAATCTAAAAAAAGGAAAAAACAAAGCACAAAACCTCCCACTAGTTGTCCTCTGACCTCCACCCCCATGCCGGGGCATGTGTCTGCATGTGGGTGTATGCCATGCACTAAATAAGCAAGCAAATAAATAAAACGTAATTAAAAACAACAACAAAACAAGGCACCCTCCAGGAAACACATGTACAAAAAAGGAGAGAAATAGTAAGGTGGCTCTGTATAAATGTTCAAAAGTGTTTTGGTTTCTTTATTGTGTATGTATACATGTGTGGGTACCCACGTGCCGGGGAGTACGGCTTCCACCATGCGGGTCTCAGAGATCAAACCACAGCCATAAGGGTCAGCGGTACGGACTCTAACCTGCTGAGCCATGTGGCTGGCCCCGTGGCACTTTAAAAAAAAAGTGAACCCAGTCATGTGTCAAACAGTATCGTTTGTTGCTCTCTGACTTGAAGTCGACACAATCAGTGAAGGAGACACTGTGGTATATCCTGTAAAATCTGCTCGGTCACCATCATTTTACAGCTAAGGAACTAGCTGAGGCCGGTTGAAGGGAGGGAGCTGCCTTCCTCGCCATCGCAGAGGCCGTCGGTGGCGGAGCTGGGGAAAGATGCATGTGGCCCTGAAGACTGATTTAGCAGTAGCTCTTTCCGGTTGCCTTGTAATAGCTGGTGTTAGATCTTCACTGCTCAAGCAAACCGTGTCTCAGCTACAGGCTGTGAGAGGACCAGCTGGGGAGGCAGCCCATGGGTGCTTGCTCGAGTGACCAGCCGAGTGACTAGCCCGAGAGATTAGAAGCCAAGCTATCCGAGGCCTAGCTCTCTCCTAGGCTAGTGCTGCACTAACCCTAATGTTACTGGAGGCTACTGTTATCTTGGGCTAGTGCCCCCAACTGCCCTTGGCATCTCTGTGTAGCTGAGGGTGGCCCTGAACTTCTCATCCACTTCCTCTGTCTCAGGAGCGCTCAGTTACAGGCACGTTTTACCACATCCCGCTTACGCGGTTCTGAGGATGGGACCTGGGGCCTCGTGAACCCTAGGCAAGGCCTCTATCGACCGAGCTGTATCCCCAGCCCCCGCTTCATTAGTCTGAAGTCGAAAATAACACTGTATGCTCTGTCTCGTATCGGTGTCAGAGTGCCAAAGGTAGGGTGCATATATAAAGAGACACCCTTAGAGTGTACACAGAGCCAGCCTGCTGCCGCTCTGCAGACCAAGAGGCCCTCTTGGCCTTGGGTTTCCCCGTGCTATTGTTTTGAAGTCTTTCTCTTAGAAGAATCCAGTTTCCTGTTGTGAGTGGCCATTGGCTCTCTCGATGGTAACTGAGGAGGATAGCAGTCAGGCTTAATTATTCCGTGCTATTTTAGCAGGAGCGCTTGGTGGAAATTCAATTACTTGCGGCCACAGTGTCAGGGTTCATTCTGGTTTTCATTTCTGTGTTGAGTCTGCTTGGCGGTATTTATAGCGTGCTGTTTGTGTAGACACTGGGGGTGAAGTAGGGATGTTTGTGGCAGCGCTTCATGAGAACAGCCCTCAAGCGTCATGCTGGATATTTTCTGCAAAAAGTAAAATGTGAGATGGGCTGGTGAGATGGCTTAGTGGGTAAAGGGGCTTGCTGCCAAACCCGAGTTCCATCCCTATAGAGAGAACCGGCTCCCACAAGATGAGCTCTGTCCTCTGCATGCACAAGCATGAGCACACGTGTTTTAAAAAGTGAGAATATGTGTGTCGTAGATACTCAAAACATCTCATAAAGACAGGTAAGCTAAGGTTCAATAAGTTGGATTGTTTTCAGGGAACAGAGAGAACAGTTCTTTTTTTTTTTTTTTTTTTTGTTTTGTTTTGTTTTTTTGTTTTGTTTTTCGTATTGCTTTGGAGCCTGTCCTGAAACTAGCTCTGTGGGCCAGGCTGGCCTCGAACTCACAGAGATCTGCCTACCTCTGCCTCCTGAGTGCTGGGACTAAAGGCGTGCGCCACCAATTCCCAGCCTCTGTTGGCTTGTTTCTATTGTCCCTTGCCTAAGCAGTAAGTTGCACGCTGTAGCCTCCTTTCCGTTGTCACGGTAAAACCCTCTAGGGAGTTGACTTGAGGCCGCCACTCTCGGTTGCATGCAGTCTTGTCATAGGGGGAGAAGGCAGGAGCTTACCACACATCCAGTCAGGGCAGAGAGAATGGGCGCGCGTGTGCTTAGTGCTTGGTAGCCTTCTCTGCTCATGAAACTCTGCCTAACCGGACCGAGGCTTCACAAGGTAACCCTCACGGTTCATGGCCACAGACTGAGCTGATCTAGACAATTCTTTATTGAGAGTCTCTTCCCGTGTGATTCTCGAGTGTGCCCGTGACAATGTAAAATGTGGAATTATGGAAACATTGCTAAAATGACCGTACCTCGGTCCCTAGGACCCAAGTACAAAAGCCAGGTGTGGCAGTCTGGAGCTGGAGGCAGGAGGATCTGAAGTTCAAGGCCATCCTCAGCTACATAAGGCAGAAAGAAAAGAACACCAGGACAAGGGCGGGCCTTGCCAGTGAGCTTCCTGGCGGCGGCAGGACCATTCTATACGAGGCTTATGGTGGACACCTTTCTCTTTCTCAGTACATGAGACTTATGGTTGCCAAGTCGCAGGGGTGGGGACAGCTCCAGCACAGCCAGTCACCTGAGTTTTCCAGAACTTTGTGCTCGAGTTTCCTTTCTGTTGCTGTGATAAAAAAAAACACCCTGACCAAAAAGGCAGATTAGATTAGGAGAGAAAGGTTTATTCGGCTTGAACTTCCCCGTTGCAGTCCATTCTTGTGGGGCACTCGGTGCAGGAACTGGAGGCAGCCAGTCACGGCCAGTCAAGAGTAGAGAAAGTGAATGCTGTCTCTTAGTTACACAGTCCAGGGCCCAAGCTCAGGGAATGGTGTCGCCCACCGTTAGGCTGTCTCCCCACAGGAATTAAGGCAATCCAGATGACCCCCCAGAGACGTGTTCACAGGCCTAGACTCTTCCTGGATGATGTCAAGTTGAAAATTGTGTCCGAGGCCCCTGACTGGAGCTAACCAGATTGCCCCACTCTGTTGTGAAAGTCTACTCGCCCCACTAACTGGAGGCACCGAGGGGAGCCTCTCCTGCCATGCCTTGCCTTTCTTGTCCCTTCAGGACACTTACAAGCCCCGTCGCAAGTACAGACGGCAGCAAGGAGCGGAAGAGCTGCTGGACGAGGAGTCCCGAGTCCACTCCACGCTTCTGGAATATGGCAGGTACAGTGCGGGCACCTGTTCCATGTCCCATAATGCCATTGCAGAGCGAAGCTGGGGCTGGAGGGCTCACTTAGTCACAGGTGCTTGCTTGCTTGCTTGCTTTGCGGCACAAGGAACTGCGTCCAGTCCCCAGAACCACATAAGAAAGCCCAGAGTGGAGGCACACACTTGTCACCCCAGTGCTGGGGAGGTGGAGACAGGGAGACCCTGGAACTCCCCGGTCAGCCAGCCTAAACTAAGCCCATTGGGTGATCGCCAAGCCAGTGGGGGACCCGGCTTGAAAACCGTGTCCTGAGGGACAACGCTGTTTCCTAGCTTTCACTTCCTGTACTAAAAACCAAACCATGTCAATATAAAGGCATCTTGACTTTTTGTGTCAGCTTACTAGCCCTCTCCCATCCCCAGGAAATAAACCATATTTCAGGAGGGATGGAGGGAAGAAAGGAAAGAGCAGGAAGGAGGGAAGGAAGGAAGGATGGAAGGAAGGAAGGAAGGAAGGAAGGAAGGAAGGAAGCTAACAATTCCTTTCTTTTGAATTAAAGTTGGACAGCTGCTCGAGTGGTGAGGCATGTTGTAAGTCTGAGCATTTGGGAGACTGACTCAGTTAGATCTCAGTGAATTTGACACCAGCCTGGTCCATAGAGTGAGTTCCAGGCTAGCCAAGGCCAATGAGACCCTACACACACACACACACACACACACACACACACACACACACACTCACTCATGCAGTTTCTGCCTGGTGAGTTTTCTGTTTGCAGCTATGACTTCCAGGTTAAAGTTTGTGTCTGTGTGCCCAGCCTTTCTAGTTCTCTGGAGATGTGGGTGTTGCTGTGCATAGACTCTGGCCTCCCTGGGGGTCCTGGTGGTGCAGAGGCCAGGGCATGAGTGTATTTCCTGGCCCTCCCTTTAAATACAGTCCCAGGGGACTTGCACCAGTCTCCTTGGGCCCTGTGGAAATCCTGTTGGTTTGGGGCAAAGCTTTCCCTGACTAGAAAAGTGAAAACTTCAATAGTAAACTTTATTACTTCTTAAACTTACTTTGTCCTTAAGAAAGAGTTTTACTTTTGTGGCCTCACTTGTTTCGAAAAACTTGCAAGTGCATACTTCCCTCTGAATGCTTTGCTCAACCCTGGATATTAACCTCCCCTTATGTCCTGCATTCTCTACCCAGGGTGACCAGTCCCTTGATGTGAGTATGCGCCTTGTGTGTCCTGCCTTTGTGTGGGGAGAGTGTCCCTGCCTTTTTTTGTGTGGCTGATACTAGCTCTTTCTCACTAGCATCTCCCTGAGTGGCTCATGACACCTTCCTCTGGGAAACAGTGACAAACAAGAAGAAATTAGGCTTTTCAAGGAAAGGCTGTGCGCGGGTGCATGTGCGTGTGTGTGTGTGTGTGTGTGTGTGTGAGAGAGAGAGAGAGAGAGAGAGAGAGAGAGAGAGAGAGAGTTCTCTCCTTCCACCTTTATATGGGCCCTAGGAATCGAACCGGAATATTCAGGCTTGCATGACAAGTGCCTTTACCCACTGAGGCAGCCCATCTGCCTCTCATGGTGTGTTGTTGTTCAGTCTTGTTTATTTGCTTGTTTGGAGATGAATATCTGAGGCCAAGCCTCTTTCCTTCTCACAATTGAAACTAGTATGTTTCAAGAGCTGCTGATGTCATTCTGGTCCAAGCCCTGTGTGATGAGCCCAGCTCATCATTTGCTGCCGAGAATATGTTTTCCAATTCAGAGTCCATTCAGACCAGGGACATAATTTTGAGATGGGGCAGGGACTGTACGAAATTAAAATGCATGGCCCCTTGTTAAAAATGATTAACGAAGGCCTGGAGGGATGGCTCATTAGGTAAATTGTTTGCTTTCCCATCATGAGGACTAAAGTTCAGCCCCCAGAACCCACAGTAAAAAAGCTGCGTGTGGTAGCATCACTTGTAATTTCAGGGCTAGAAAGGCAAAGGCGGAAACAATCACTGCCATCAGCCTAGTCTAATGGGTGAGTTCAGGCCAGTGAAAGAGCGTGTCTTAAAAATGAGGTGGACAGACACACATACACTCACTCTCAAATAATAAAGGAATGTAATGAAACTACATATATGAATATATACATACTGGTGGAAACATTAGGTGGGCACAGGGGTTATAGACACTTGGGAAACTCATAGCCATAGGCCTTGGGTGTTATCTGATGTCTCAGCCTTTTGGTTAGTGAAACATTAGGTGTGTTTGTTTTTTGTGTTTTAAGTAGTTTATCCTTGAATCAAATATAAATTACCAAGGCCCAGGAACAAAGATTCAGGTTGCCCAAAATAACATAGTCTACATAGTTTCCTGAAGCTCTATAGAACAAAAGGCTTTTTTTTTTTTTTCCATCTACATCAGGTAGGTGTGTTAACAAAGGAGATGTGTGCCGTGATGCAGGGGTCCTATCTGGTACCATTCTTAGCTATGGAGTTAGAGGAAGCAGGAGGCATGCTAAAGTCATTCCAAACGTTTATATCGTATTAGAGGTAGACAGTGGATGACAACTAATAGGGTTAAGGCTAGCCTCAAGATAGTTCGGCTCTGCATCTACTACATTCCAACTGTCCACAGCCCTGAAGTTGTAGTCCTTCTGCCTTTTTTTTTTTTTTTTTTTTAACTCTGAAGTAGCAATACTGATTAGGCTGCAGAGGTCGCCATAATGTCCCTTACAGGAAGGTGGTGCAGACCCAGAGTTCAGCCTCAGAGTAAATCTGATGTACTTGGTCCCACTGCCCTGCTCTGTCCCTTTTTGTCTCTCCCAGTTCTGTGTCGGGATTGCAAAGCTGGGAAGTGCTATAAAATTTTACTTTCCGCATCTTCTTCCATTTGTACTCTTTCATTCAGCAAACATTAGACCTCCAGACTGAAAACAGCTGCATCCCCCAGAAGGGTGCAGACTCGCGCTCAGATGATTGGTCATAGCTGCCCTCGTGGGGGCGTTTCCAGGCCTAGATGGACAGATCTTGGCTCTGCATGTATGTAGTGTGCACATGGAAGCTTTGCAGAGCCAAGAGCAGGTGAAGGGAGCTTGGTCGGACTGTGTAACGCTTTGTGTGGACGGTAGGTGGAGCAAGAGGTGCTTGTATGATGCTGACCGGGGCTTTGGAGGAGGAAGGAAGAGGTGATGTGTGGAAGCTGGGAGAGCCTGCCAATCTTGCTAATGTGACATGGGGTCGGGACAGAGGAAGAACAGGAGGAGTGAACTACAGACACTGGACCTGTGGGCCGCACACTGATCCCACAGGCCAGGCATGGCCTGAACAGGGGCAGAGCAGAACCTTAACCTGTTTGCTCTTCACTGCTTGCATGCGATTTTATTTCTTTCCGAACTAAAATCTGTGAGACTAGGTGTTTGCCTTGTGCCTTTTGTTTTTTGGCTGAGTCTTTTTTGTTGCTGTTGTATTTGCCTAAAATAAAAAGGCATAGGTTTTGCTTGTCTTGAGCCAAGAAGTAAAGCCATTTAAGCTGAAATGTGTCTGGGCGCCCTTTAAATTTAAGGCTCCATGCAGTGAGTACACATTACTGACATCACGCTTGGGTTGTGTTAGAAAATAACACTGGCGTGGCTTGAAGTCATTAAAGTAACATTAGAGTCCGATTTGGTCTTAGGAAATACATAGTTTGTTTACACAGACGTTTTTAAGGGTTTCAGCTTGCAGTGTGGTTCTGAGATACAGCTCCTAATTGGAAGAGCAGTGAGTACCCTTTAAGGATACCCTGTACTATCTCAGCATCCCCTTTTTAGAGCATGTGTACAGCAGATAACATGACTGGCCATATTCAAGAGCTGGTAGATGTGTTTCCGGAAAAGGCGTTTGAAGTATTTTTTTTTTTTTCCCAGCACTAAGCAGCCTTCGGTGCTTTTCATAGAGGAACCCAACCCAGCCCTAGGGAGATGGCTCAGTCGGCAAAGTGTTTGGCACACAAGCATGAAGCCTGAGCTGAGTCCCCAGCACCCATGCAGAAGCCAGCTGTGAGGGTGTGTGCCTGTAACCCCAGTGCCAGGCAGGCAGAGACAGGCCAGGCCAGGTCTCACCAGCCAGCCATTCGAGCCCAGTTTTGGTAAGCTCAAGTTCACTGAGAGAAGTTGTCTCAGAAGAAGCTGGAAAGTGAGTGAGGATGGAGATACCCGATGTTGCTTGCCCCAGTACACATGTGTCAATAAATACCCTTGTTGGAATTTATTGTGGTTTTTGAATGGTAATTAAACTCTTTCTCGTGACTTACAGGAGATATGGATTTAGTCGCCACAACAAAACGGAGAAGGTAAGAAAGACCTAGAGTGGCAGCAGTAGCTGGGTAGCAGGGGTGCCCCTCCCTGACCAAGCTCCAGGCTCTGGGCAGGCAGGGGTCCTGGCAGTGTACCAGCCGCCTTTGTCCCCTGCTTGGGCGTCTCGGCATCTCTAGCCTGCCAACGGAAGCATCCCAGAGCTACAGATCAAAGATAATTGAAGTCCAGCAGGTGGACGGGCCCTGGCACGAGGCGGGCCTGCCTCACCAACCCATGCCTGCCCGGCCCGCTCTGGAGGCTGGAACTTGACCTGACCTGAAGGCCCTAGATTAGCCCTTCTCTTTTGAACGCCCCCCCTCCACCCCACATAGGTTCTCTTTCACAGGCTACCTCTCTGAAGGCTTGTCTTATTTCTGCCCAGTCTGCAGCTCTGCTGCCCAGCTGTTTCCTCTTCTTCCCTTCTAGGCTGAGGACAAGAAAACAGCGCTCGCTGCGGGGCTGTCAGCCACAGAGAAAACGGAAGCTCATGAAGAAGATGAACTTCAGGCTGCTGAAGAGGTGTGTGTGCCTGCGTGGTGGCCCTCTGAGGTCCCAGTGGGGCCCATTTGAGGGGAGATGTAGCCCCACCCCCAGCTCTCTGTCTCTCTCTCTCTCTCTCTCTCTCTCTCTCTCTCTGTCTCTCTCTGTCTCTCTCTCTCTCTCTCTCTCTCTCTGGCTGCCTCCCACCCCTCTCAGTTCCCGTCTTGGAAGCACTGTGAGGCTCACCAGTAACCCACATTAAAGCATCAGCTCAGAGGGGGTTCACCACAAAGACCCGGGCAGGCAATCGCTTCCGTCTCGCGTGGTCAGAAGCGCTCATCGCTGTTCCCTTTCCCTTCCAGCAACGTATTCAGTCCCTGATGACCAAGATGACTGCCATGGCGAATGCGGAGGTGAGGCTCGGGTCGGGATGGGGGTGTCGGGGAAACACAGGGCTGGCGTCGTGGCCCCTCCCCCCTCTGCTCTAGAGGCAGGGGCACGCTGTCTTCAGAGCCCTGTCTTAAGCAGTCCTGAGCCCTGTCTGTGTCCCCCTTGCAGGAAGCCTTTTTATAATGCCTAGCATTGTTCTGGGGGCCTTCAGTGAGTGAGAGCGTAAGGAACCTGTTGGAGTGACACATCCCTACAGGGGTGGCTAACTGGGCCCCTGAGGAAGAGCAGGGGTCTCTGTAACCACGGGAACCCATCTCCTTCCGAAACCAGCTCTGTAGGAGATGAAATCCTGAGTTGCCAGTGAACCCTCACAGGTCAAGGCCTTCCTGGAAGGATTAGCTGTGTCCTTGGATGGGATCATTTCTTTGAAAACCAGGAAAGACCTGTGGTAATAAAGACATACTTTAGGGCCTATAGTTCCTTTTCTACTTCCTGTCTATGAGTCCCAGGCCTGGACATGGTGGTGGAGAAGAAGATGGAATCCTAGGGTACACAGGGCCTAAAAGGAAGCTAGTCCAAGTGAACCTGGACCTGAGGGGAAGTTATCAGGGCTACCATTGGGAGGGGTATACAAGGTCGGGGTGGGTGGAGTTAGGAGGGATACCCAGGGCCCAAAAGGAAGTCGGCAAGGGTACCCAAGACCCAAGTAAGGGGAAGCTAGCAAAGCTACTGACTGACTCTGGAGATGGAGGGGTAGCTCTGACTACTGTCCTAAGTCTTGTGGCTGAGTCAGTGGTCAAAGCCAGGTCACTTTCCTGGGGCCAAGCTGTGTATTTTGTTATCATGTTCAGTCCTATGATTGTCCCTGAGACTACACCTCCTTTGATTGCAGAGCCGCCTCACCGCAAGCTCCGTGGGCCAGATCGTGGGTCTCTGTTCTGCCGAGATCAAGCAGATTGTGTCTGAGTACGCAGGGAAGGTAGGTTGCTGTCTGCCAGAGCCTTGGCCTCAAGTCACAATCACAGCCTTACCCTCCTGCATCCCCATCTCGTTCCCTGTGTAACCATGGAGTGTAGCTGGAATTCATCAGCCACATTTGTCAGAAGCACCAACACCAGACTTGACCATGCACAGTCATCTGCATTTGCCCATGAGCTAAATTCATTTTGTCCCGAGGTGCCCATTTTTTTCTATAAATACTAAGGGAAAAAGCCTGTCTTGAAATAGAAATCACATCTAATATGTCGCCGTCTGCAGACCAGGCAATCAGTTTTCCTTCCCTGTCAGGCTGCTTATAACACAGGCTTGGTTTGGCAAGTGGGCTGACAAATGGTGCTTTTTGCCATTTAGGAGATAAACTCTATAACTCAGCCAAGCCCGAGGCAAAAGATTTTGCTCAATTTTCTTAAAAAGGGTATAGAATGAACAAAGCCTCGGTCGCACTTCAACATTATTTTCTTTTCCTTTTTCCATTCTAATACGAGACAGAGGGACCTTAAATATTTCAGAGGTACAGTGATGAGCCATTTTTTAAATAGTTTTAATATTTCCTTTTTTATTAATGTGTTTGTATGGAGAGGCAGGCTGTCACACCGTACATGTCTGGATCAGAGGACTACACTTTGTGGGTTAGATTTTCTCCTTTAATGGGGACTCTCTTGACTCCTGCAGCAAGCACCTTTTACCTTACCAGGGAGCCAACTGGCTAGCACAGGAAAAGAGTCATTTCGTTTCCTGGTGCTGTGACAGTCATCAACTGCTGTGTGCATTTGTGCGTGGCTGTGTGCGCGCATGCGTGGCTGTGTGCGCGCATGCGTGGCTGTGTGCGTGCGCTCCCATGCGTGCACGCGTTCGGCTCTCTCCTTTTCCTTCTGCCCAGGACCCAGCCCATGAAATGCTGCCTGCATACTTTCCCACTCGATTATGCCAGCTGAGAAATTCCCTCACAGTCCTGTGCACAGGCCAAGCTAATCGAGACAGTCCCCCACGGAGACTCCCTTCGGAGTGAGGGGAGTCTAGATCGGGTCGGGTCTAGCTTGCATTTAAACTGACCAACAGAAGGGTCTTGTCCCCTCATCCCTCAGCCTCGCCCCGAGTGTCATGGCTGCTGGAGTGGCTCGTTCTGATTTTCTTGGCTCTGACGCCTTCGGAACAGAATAGTGCCACTCTGTGTGCTGAGCCTAACCTTTGTGTAGTGATTGTGAATGTGGTGTGCTTGGGGAGAGGTCTCCCTGGTACCAAGCAGAGGAGCTTCAGAGCCGGGCAGTGAACAGATACATGTCTAGGGTGGGGTGCCTTCTTTCCCCTGTCCTCCACGTGGATGCTTCTGAATGTAGATTTTTCTTGCCCATCTCTCAAGGAGTCAAAGGTCTTGTCTGACCAGTGTCATTAGAGGTTGAACTGGGAACGATTCTGCTTACTGTAAAGGTTCAATAAACTCAAAAGACTGCAATGCATAGTTGTGGCAAGAGGAGTGAAAGGCATTGCCCTACGAGTGCCGTGGTCTCCTGTCACTCATTCTCCTGAGCTCCTGTCACTCATTCTCCTGAGCGCCAAGGCTGTGAATCTGTTGCAGGCCTAGATTGCCAAAAATTAGCCTTATCAGATTTGTAACAGGGATGGGAAGTAGATATCTTTCTGCTCGGTGTGTGTATGTATGTGTTTGTGTGTGCCCGTTTGTATATATATTTATGTATGTGTGTATGCGTATGCATGTTTGTCTGTTTCTCTCTCTCTCTCTCTGTGTGTGTGTGTGTGTGTGTGTGTGTGTGTGTAGGCCAGAGGTTGAGAATTGCTTGTGGGAATTGGTCCCCTCCTACCCTATGAGCCCCAGGAATTGAACCCATATTGTTAGGCTTGGCTTTGCCTCCTGAGCCAGCTCACTGGCCTCAACTAATCTCTTACTGTAATTAATACTTTAACTAGATTTCATTGACTCTGATGTATAGATCTGCCCTGGTCTTTGTATTCATTTGTCTTTGTTTCTCCGTGACGCCCTTAAGCTTTACTCTGCTTTTGTGTTTTCTGTCTAATTAGAATACAAGCTGACTTTGTTTTATTAGACGTCTTTTTGCTTCAGGTCCCATCATGGAACCTTGCAGTTGCTGTATTTGTTTGCTCCTCGTTCGTTGTTTTGTTAGTGTGTCCAGCCAAAGACTGACTGCCTTCAGGTTGGCCCTCGGTTGGGGTGAAACGTGTTGGGCACATTGCTGCTCGAGTTGCAGGAAGTCACGTCTCAGTGGGGCTGTGCAGCAGCTGGTTAAGATGGTGTTGAAAGATGCAGCACACAAGGCACTGTGGTACCCAGAAAAACACGCATGATGTTGAAAGATGCGGCACACGAGGCACTGTGGTACCCAGAAAGACACGCATGATGTTGAAAGATGCGGCACACGAGGCACTGTGGTACCCAGATAGACACGCATGATGTTGAAAGATGCGGCACACGAGGCACTGTGGTACCCAGAAAGACACGCAGGGGCATGGGAAGCATGAGCTAGCCCGTGAGACTGTGTAAGGAAGGAAGGATAGAAGGCAGGGGAGGGGAAGACAGAACGGCATGGCAAAGGAAGCAGCGAAGGGAAGGACTCGTCCTCGTCATCACAATCGTCGTCATCACAATCGTCGTCATCATTGCTGTCGGGTCTGGGTTTGTGTTGGGTTTGTGTTGGGTGCTCTGGGAAAGGGTGAGTGTGTGGGAGTTTGCTCTGTGTCCCATGCTACAAGGAAGGGCCTGTGAACACAGCCCACGCCCACTGCCTCGCTGCCTCCTCTGTCTCAGCGCCATGGGTTTGCTTGAAACTGGGCTCTGCTGTTTCCTCTGAGACTGGTGCTGCTGCTGCTGCTGCTGTTGGTTTTGCGGGGGTGACACAGCCTTGACTAGCAATGAGGACAAAGTGCTCCAGGGAGGCCCCGTCAGTATCACTTGAGTAAAGGCCCAAGCGGAACTGCTATCTGCTATCTGCGTGCATTTTTCTTTAGTGAGGGGAAAGGACCAGGCTGCTTTAAGGGGGGTGGGGTGGGTGATGAAGAGTTTTGTGAATGAGGAATAAATTCAGCAGCCTGCCTGGAGCAAGTGCTTGAGAGGTGCTGAGCTTTGGGATGTACAAATGAAGAGGAAATAAGTAAATAAGTACCAGACTCATCCTTCAGTTGTAAGGTTCTCAGGTTCTTGTGACAGTGTAGTGTAGTATGTAATCCGCGTGTTTCAAAGACGTCTGTGAGCTATGTAACTCAGTTTAATGTGGCCCGTGTAAGGCAGCAGGGTGAGAAAGCTTTTGTGGGTGTAATTCATAAGCATCTGGAGGTCCTGCGCTTGGTATTGTCATCTCCCTGTTCCCAACGCTCACAATGTTTCAGAAGGCCTAATGCTGCTGCTAGTGCACCACCTGCCATCTTGACACCCTGGTGCTCAGCCAGCTAAGTCAGCCTCCATTGATATGTCTGTGAGATCCCGATGCAGTCCCAGAGGATTCCCTAGGCCTGCCTGCAGGTAGATCTGCCTTCTGGAAACACAAATCTGCATGCCCTCTCTTGTAGGTAGTTTGTAAACTCTGGGACTTCACAACTTCCCTTTATGTGTGCGTGTACGATGCGTGCACATAGGTGCGCGGCACACGTGGGGAGGACAAATGACAACCTCAGCACTCAGCGTTTGCCTCCGGTGTTTGAATTAATGACAACCTCAGCACTCAGCGTTTACTTCCGGTGTGTGAATTAATGACAACCTCAGCACTCAGCGTTTGCCTCCGGTGTTTGAATTCAGTCTCTATTGTTTTGCTCTGTGCTGGGTTGTACAGGCTTGCTGGTCCCGTTTGTTTCCAGAAAACTCTCCTGTTTCTACCCATCCCCTGAGCAACACTTTTTAACTCTGTAAGATCGTTTCATTCTTTCTCTTTTTACACTTTATTAACTTGTGTGCTTCTGTGTGCTGGGGGAGGGGGTGCCACGGCTTAACTTGTGGGGGTCAAAGGACACTTTCTGGACGTGGCTCTCTCCTACCCTGTAGGTCCTAGGGTTGAACTCTAGGCATGGTGGTGGCCTTTACTCAGTGAGCATCCTGCTGGCCCAAGATGATTTGATTCTTCCAGGCTGTCTTCTTACGCATCGCCTCCCTCCATCTCTACTGATGATACCTGTCTGTCGGTGTCGGTGTATACCACGTTCTGTTGTTGAACTGGACAACTCCCTGGGTACTGCAAGCGTTGGTGCTGGGTAACTAAGTATATAATATTACACCCATTTTGCAGATTAAAAAAAAAAAAAGTGTAGGCTACGGAGGCTCAGTCATTTCTGCATTCCTGTGCAGCTCTAGTACATTCCTGGTTCGAATGCAGGGTCACCTGCCTTTAGAGCAGTGGTTCTCAGCTTCCCAATACTGCGACCCTTTAACACGGTTCCTCATAAAGACTATTCTCATTACTACTTCATAACTGTAGTTTTGCTACTGTTATTTTTTTTTTTTTAAGAGATAGAAGTTTGCCAAAGGAGTGGTGACCCACAGGTTGAGAGCCGCTGCTTTAGATCCTGTCTGTTTAGCTAGCTAGAAGGTCACCGAGGAAGAGTGGAACTGTGTGTGCCATCCAAAGTTCTGCCCCCTGAGCCTGCAAATACCCTATGCCTCCTCAGGCATGCTCACCATTCCACCAGCCGCCTTGAGAGCTGTATTGGGGAAGGGATGAGTGTGCTAGGAATGGACCACAGGAGTAAGGGGACCTGGTACATCCTGGGGCTCACACAGCATCTCAACAGGGCTGCTGGGTGCTGAGGTTTCTTTTTTCCTTTTTTAGCTTTTTTTTTATTATTGTGTGAGTGTGTGTGTGTAAGGGAGAGGGAGAGAAGGAAAGAGGGGGGAGAGAGAAGAAGAGAGAGATGGGGGCATGTGTGCATGTTCTACATGTAAAGCCAGAGGATGACTTTGTCAAATTGGTTTTCTTTTTCCAACTTTAACTGGGTCATGGGGATCAAACTCAGGTTGTT